TTTCAACGGGTGCTTGTTCACGAAATCCTAAGTGCTCGGCGCCATCATGTGACAACGACAACGACGACACTGGTGACACATCACGGCACCCGAAAGTGGTCGCGTTTTAATTTGTCGCCAGAGGGACGTTGGGACCTGGTGGGCAACACACTTTTAAAATCCTAAGGTGAGTGTGTTTTAGTACATTACACCACTGTCCATAACTCAACCATCGCCACCGTCGCTAATCTAGAAATAGATACTTAGGTTCGACGAGTGTGGTGGATAGGGTAGGCAGTTTTTACATGTGTGTCAGTAGGCGGTTGTGTCGAAGGTGCTGTTTAATGTACATAAATATACACACCAAATGTACGACGAGGATTGCCGCTTGCGCGTCCGCGAGTGCGCGTCGGTTTTTGCGCTCACTACACATCGGAGCGCACACGCCCGAACAACCGTTCAGTTTGACTCAGACTCAGCGCAACCCACGACACGCCACCCGTCACCAATCGGTCCGCTATCACGTGCTCGTCGAAGTTTTTTTTTATCGAGTAGAAAAATAAAAATAAAAATATTTCGTCATAAACATAAAGCATAACAGACGWTATGTACGTGTCGTTACGTCGACTATTATAGCTTAGACTTGCAAAGTCCGCAACCATCGAATAATATACGAAGTAATACAACATCCGAAGTCTAATGTGATTTTATCTAATCGAAAAACGAACGAGCAACGATTGTCGTTGTGTGCTGGTCAAAAGGTACATATATTATATTGTATTTTATTAAAGGCTTACGTTAAGAAGATAACCAAATCGGACAGTAAAATTGGATCGATGGATTTCATATTATTATTTTCATCGCAGTTGAATAATGCTGCATCTGTTAAAAATAGCGACGGTACGCTTTATAGTTACTCGAGATTTCTCGGTAAAATTTTAATATTCACTTTTTATGAAATCAAGTTTTGAACATGTAAATCAGGTTCGAATGACATTCGTATATTATTTACTGTGCCCTAAAATTTTTTGTTGTTGTTTTTTTTATATATGTATATATATAGTTAATTTGAATATATAATTATACAACCATAAACCATTCGTATTTTAATTTTTAAGCGTAGAAGAAAATGTATTTTTTTTTSAAACACATATTTTATAGAATGATAGGAAATTTAAATTTATACATAAAGTTTTTTGAACATCCAATTCATTTGCTTTAGGAGCTATTTCATCAATATAAAAATTACGGTATTTGTTTGTTATCGCCCCGCCAGTACACCGTATAAAATTTATCTCCCCGCCACTCTTGTTTGTTATCACCCCAATAAAATATATTATAATACAATAATACAATAAAAAAATAAAAAAAATAATTATAATTATAAATTTACAAAGGAGGCCATTTAAATTAAAAAAATTATAACAATTATAAATAAAAAAATAAATAATAGTAAGATATAGAATGTCTCGCAAAGTGTAGTTATTTCCTAAAATATTTCCCAAAATAGATCATCTATCACGAGCTAAACACGGTAACTATAGGCGGGGCGATAACAAACAAGAGTGGCGGTGAGATAAATTTTTATACGGTGTACTGGCGGGGCGATAACAAACATATGTATAAATTATTATTGAATATTGTGGTTGTGTCTCAATATATTACTAAAAATAATCAATCTATAATAAACTTTATACAATAAGTAGGTAATACTATTGTTGCCTCCGTTTGATATTCGATTTGATGACGTTGTAACGTATTTTACTGATTTCATTGTGCATGCATCTACTTGCCACGTTGTTGTCATGGTGTTGATTACAATATTTTCCACATATGGATTCCAATATAATGGTTCTCAGATAACAACGACAGAATGTTTGTGGATTGATTACCATACACAAGCAGCAGTTGTAATTATTGTGTCTATCACAATTTACAGTATATTATTCTGTTGAACGTTCACGATATTATTGTTCTCGCGAATCGTAGGCAAAGTACCCACACAAACCACGCGGATTGAATTGTCCAACAATGAATCGGTACGTATTACGGTCACTATTTTTACGTAAGTACCTACATAAAAGCATAGTTATACCCCCTCCAAAAAAAAAAATCTTCAGTGACACAGCCCGAAAACCCGTGGACTGTTGTTTTGTGGACCACAATTGCGTTTGTTTTTTTGCCGAATCACTAACAACTTACTTCGTACGAATCGCAACTGCCCAAGTCGAGGGATAATAATTGCTCTGTGCGTCTATTACAAAGAGTAGGTAATACCCTTCGTGTTGTATTTTCTTTCACCTGCGAACAATAAGGTTCATCATCTATTTTTGTAACACGATTTTATCTACCAATCGATTTTGTTTGCCAAAATAACGAACCGAGTGCAAGTGAGATAAAATAACAGAATACCTAGGTAGTATGTTATTATTATTTTGGAAAATTGGAAAATTTTTGCTCGCAGTACAATAACATTTTTTTTTTTATAAAAACAGCTTACTAACAGTGTATTATAAAAACAGAATCGTAATGCATACACAGTTGTAGAATATTTTACTTACTTGATGAATTTTAGGAGTTACAATAACAAAATTTGGTTATTATGTTCAATTACAATTTCATTATTCTTACTATTTGCATTTCTTCATTACTTATTCTACCTCTCACATAAGTAATTTGCACCAAAAGCAACCCCTCAAAAAATATATTTATATAATTTGCGTCACATATAACTAAATATAAGGGCATTATATAATCTGCGCCATTTTATACCTTCAAAAATTGTAATTTGCACCGTTATTCGCTATACTCAAATTATAATTTGACCGCTTTCAAATAAGTAAACAATGTTTTTTTACAGATTAAATCATTTTAAGCAAAAGTATATCAGTATACGTACGTTACATATATTAAACAGCTAAGTACAATTTTGAATATTAAAAAGATATATAAAAATCAGTTTTTATAATATTATAATAATTAAAAACAAAAGATTACACATTGTTATATAAAAGACAACCAATCAAACATAATCGATGTCGTATCTTCTTATGGTTAGTAGAATACAACACATCTGGCACACGTTGATACTATCTTATGTACCTATTATTGTATTTCCGATGTGATATATCAATAAATTAATTTAATAATAAATTTCAATAATTAAAGTTGAAAGTGTGGCGCAGATTGCATGTCGTATTTCGTTTTCTGTCGTGGCGCAAATTACCAAAATAAATTTTTATATGTGGCGCAAATTATATACGCACATAAATGTACCTAATTGAGATACAAATTACAAATAATGAAATTGGAGGAAAATACCATCTCCCACATAAGTCTATAATGCGAATAGAATAATCATAGAAAAATCGATAATTGAGCATTTTGATTTATATTAATTTAGTATCATGTAACATTATACAGTCACAAATATTTTATTATACACTTAACATTTACTCGTTGGCGCAATTTTATTATAAACCAATATCGTTATTATTACATGCCTGTCTATACCTACTTTTTCCTACATATTAGTGTATAAATTCTAAAAAATTAAATATTCTAATTGAATTCTATTATATTATATTGTTTAAGAGTTATAATTAATTATTCGACGCCAATAATAATCATTATAAATCTGTCAGTCATTCCAGTATATGATAACTAGATATAAAATATGAAAACACGAGACTTAATATTTTTAAATAAATTAATATCTACTTTGAATGAAATGCCTAAATATGCAATGTCTTAATAAAAACTAAATAATTTAACTTCAAAAATGATAAAATAATATTTTTGTATATTTGAGTACAGTTTTACAAATTATAAATATTTTTCAGTATTTATTTGTATTAATAATATAAAGACAAATATTTTGATGTTTCCCAACAGAAAATCATGAAAAGCTAGGCGCTAACTGACAAAATACAAAAATTAAAAATATTTCATAAAGACCGACATTACGAGTAAAATAATATACACGCGTATTATACTATAATATTATGTCTTATCGTTTTCACAACGTCATGGTCATCGCCGCTTCTATGCAAAGCTGTTATGACAAACACAAAATATAACTTTATATTTGAATAATCGATTTCAATACATACTACATACAAATCTGATATCATCAGAATAATATAGAAAAAACAATATTATTAAAAAATGCGTAGTAATATATTTATTGATGTATTTAATACAGATAGATGAAGCTCATAAAATTAAGTTTGGGTAATTTTTTTTTTAAATATTATTCTACGCATTAAAATAGACATATTTAAAAAAAAAACTGGACGATTTTGCCTCTCACAAGCTTATGTCGAGACGACGGGACATACTTTTGAAGTACGGTACTTACTCGTATTATACCCTATTTTACTTATTTTGAAAAAATCCATTAATGTCGGTACCTAAACTTTTTATAAACATTGGTAATTTATTGTACCAATGTATATAAGTAATATTAAATATAAATAAACATCAATGATTCATAATAGTACAAAACAAATATTATTAGGACGCAATATTTTTATTAAGAACAATAGTTTTTATTTTATCACCAGTATCCGCATCAAATTACGAAGAATGATTAAAACAATTTTTGATGTATTTTAAATAGAATATATCGAAGATAAAATATTTAACCATGGCATAATCATACTATATTATATTTTTTAAGTCATCATAAAAATAAAAATTATATATTATTATTCAACAACTAAACTGATTAGTTTGTGAAATAATGACGCTGAATAAGTGAAGAGCTCTTTTCAACAATTAATTTTTCATAATTATAGACAAAAGTTCGTCTATATTTCTGATATCATAGTATAATAAATATTATTTTATAAAGTAATAATTATTATTACCTATTTTTATGTCTAAAATTGAATATTTTTAGTATGTTGTTGATTTTGAATAATTATAATAAAAATCATAATTGCTATCATTAAATAAACATAATTTTGGCAACGAACCTTTGAAGACGAACAACCAAATTAAATTCGTCTGAAACTCGCACAAAGATTTTTCATGAATGTATATTATAACTATACACATGTACAATGCATTGATGATCCCAAAATGTTTCAGAATTTCGAGAATGTTCAATATCGACTTAATACGTAGAATTATTGGTATCGAGATTTCTTCGCTGAAATTTCCACAGGAGTCGCTTTCGCTTTATAATATATATGTTCAAAACTTATATACATAACGGAATATATTATTTAGTGATAAAATTAAAATATTCCGCTTTATTAATACGCTTGCTTTCTCTCTTTTTCTTTCCATATCTAACGATGTTCAACTACTCAGATTTTACCTCTTTTATATTCGTTTTCATCTCTCTATTCAATTCTCGCCCCGTACGTCCACAATTTATTTATAAATTTATTTTTGAAACCACCACTACTATAGCTTTTTACACATTGGATCCAAGTGCTCATTGTATTACCTAACATTTTTCTCCCATTTCGAGATGTCCAAATCACATAAATCTCCAATGATTCACTTTTATTTTCCTCTCGAATTGTAACTACATTTTTATTAACTTTGAATTTAACTTCCGATTCGTTTATATCATAAAATAAAAAATATATATATTCCCAGAGAATTACTAACCAATTTGGCAGAAATAATTTACGTTTAATGTATGAAAACAATGTTATTTAACTCAATTTGAAATTATTTTAAATTTTTAAAACATGTTGAGAAATCTAAAAATGCCTATTAGTTTTACGCGATAAACCGTGATTAC